TTTCATGCAACATGCTTTCTAATTTATGGCTGTTGCTCATGGACATATAAGGAGAGCCTGGGAAAGAAAATTTGTTTGATTGGTCAAAGCACAGAAAGTAACTATTTCCACGAAAACAACAACTTGGAGGTATATCTGCAGAAATATGTTGGTTGAATGATCACATTTATAGGGATTACTATTCAATTGTCAAGGAGCAGGTTTATTCTTCTTCTTTATTTACCTCAACAATTAATCAGTTCATTGAAATGGCACGATTGTAACAGCTGAAGCTGAAAGTGTTAAAATTAATTGTTTTGCTTCCTTGATTTTGCCGTAATGGATAATAGCTTAGCAATTCATGAGCACTCCTGTAAGGGACTATCCAGTGCTAAAAGCTTTATCAAGGGATGATGCATTTCGAAATTTGAGATATATATGTCATAAGCGGCACGGTCTCGTCTATGTTGAGCCGTGACTCCCTCTTCAGGCTCTTCCATGGTTGTAGTAAGAGCTTCAAGAACCTCTTGTTCTTCCAAAACATATTGGATTTTCATGCTCCATATCTCATAATTGTCGCCGTTAAATTTTTCTCCCTTGTTAAGTTCAGCGACAATGTTCTTAGATACAGATGCCATTTCTAAACAAAATTACACGTTGGATAATGCATGTTATTCAATGCTCGGAACATACATATTCATTTAATTAATTATACTAATAATAATTGTATATTAGATTTGGAATCAAAAGTTAACAATGTCAACAATCATCATCCAAAATTCCAATTTCCAATTATCATAGATATAATTAATTGCAATTCAAAAATATATTTAGACACAATTATATAAATATAAATCAACATAAATTCACAGAAACTTTTAATAAAATAGAAAAATAAATAAATAAAACTAATTTCATTATTTAAATAGAATTCAACATGTAATGAAATTAAAACAAACAAATTCCAAAAAAAAAAAATATTAAGTGTACAGCCACATTCCTAAAATTGGGAAGGATCTGATAATCCTTATAATAAGGTCTTTATCTAACTTGTAATTAACCCTGGCAGGGGAACTCCCAGTTTCTTGTGATGTCCTTTACGAGTGGAGACTCTTATAGATGCACCAGCTGTCTTTTTTTTTTTTTTTTTGCACCCCAATTTATGTACTCTTTGATATAGTTGTTGACTAAACGTCTATAATTTTTATTGTCATCTTTAAATTTGTGAACTTTCAACTTGGTCCAAACCATATCAAGGAGACCAACGAGATTAGGGTAACCAAGAGTCTCTCTTAGAACTTGGTATTTCGACTCATCTTCCTTTAATCCCCCTATCCAGACAATTTTTTGAATCTTTTCATTCACATTAATGAAATGATTTACGAGTTGCACCAACTCATCCTCTGTGTCTCTTAAAATCAATGTGTGAGTTGGTAGAGTTCTAATCATGTTCATAACCCTTTCCCTTTGAGCGGGTGTTCTAGCAACCATTGCACGTCTATAACGTAACATTTTTCTGTAACAAATACAAAAAAAAAACTATTTATTTATCAAATAAAGGTTGACTATATTTGATAAATAATATATATACGTGTTTATGGTTCAATAACAAAATTAGACTCATAACAACATATTAAGTATTCATTTTTTTTCCTTACAGCAAAAGAAAAAAAATTTAGAATACTTCACGCGCCTTCACACGCCGCCCAGAAGCCCCCACGCGCCGACAGAAGCTTCCACGCGCCCCCACACACCGGTAGGGCACTCCACGCGCATGGCACGTGCCCACACGAATTCAGGTCGGGTCGACCCGTTCCACATTCACCTGGGTCAATCCTGACCCGAGTTGGCCCGTTGACATTGTTGACTTTTACAGGTCGGGGGTTGACTGGGTTTGACTGACCTGTTTGGTCTTGCGGGTCATGCATTGACGGGGTTCAACCGACTCGTTTGACTTTACGGGTCGGGTTTGATTCATTACCGGGTTTGACTAACCCGTTCGGTCATATGGGTCGGGTCCACCGGTCAACTTGACCCGATTTTTTATTTTGGTTATGGGTTGGGCCGGATAGGAATATATTGTGTTTGTGAATACAGTTAACACAAAAACAAAATTAGCCCAGTGGTTCAGGCATTGGGCTTCAACTATGGACACTTGGGTTCAAGTCTCACCACCCACGCCTATTTGAATTTTTTTTCAAAAAGAAGTAAATCAGGAAAAAAACGACATGTCATTCATAAGGGTGGATCGAAAACGACATGTCAGTTCGTGTCGTCTTCAACCTCTGTCCGGGTCTGCAACTGGGTACCTGACCCGAAAATTAACTCATACGAAACCCGAAACTTCAAAGAGACATATCTAAGTCATTTTAACTCCATTTTTTATGATTCAAAAACCATTTTCTTCATAATTTCATAAGGAATCTCGTAGTCTAATTATAATTACCAAAAAGACAACTTTTTACATACAAAATTTGAAAAAAATCAGAACTGCATTTATCAACCAATAACCTGCTTCAACATTAACAGTATGAATTTAAAACAGTATGAACCACGGCTCTGATACCAATGTTGGAAATAACATAGAATAACATATATCCTAAAGTAATCTCAAGATCATAGTCACCATTGCAGTCACATTTATATATAAATGAACTACAATGAATTTACACAACATAAATACATATTTTCCTTATCTCTGAAGCAATAAAGTTAATCTGGAAGAAAACCACGAAGTGAATTGTTCTTTTTCAAATTCTAGAGAGAGAGAGAGAGAGCATATTTTTCCTTTGCGTTTTTGTGTGTTATGGTGAGTCACCTTTTCTAAAAGAAAAAACCTTCCTTTTATATGGGAACGGTTCGTGAGAAACTGCCTTTGGCAGTTTTCACTTCTCACAACCCTTCATCATGGGTGTATTTATCCAATAATTGATATATAATTGTTTTGCTTCCTTGATTTTGCCGTAATGGATAATAGCTTAGCAATTCATGAGCACTCCTGTAAGGGACTATCCAGTGCTAGAAAGCTTTATCAAGGGATGATGCATTTCGAAATTTGAGATATATATCTAAGGTTATTGATTGTTGCCTAGACCCTCACAGAATAGCTACATGAAATTTTGTTTCCTGATTACCTCATTTATAGTTAGAAGATACAGGGAATAGAGAAGCAATATGCTTAACAGTATTTAACCGGTACCACCTTGTTTTGTAGGTAAACTGTAAACATGTCATCATGCAATCTTTCAGGAATTTCCTAATAACAAATCTTCTCGCTTATATATAGAAGGACATGCATATATTTATTTCCTCAACACATAATGTGCATGATTATCATCAAAGAGATAAGTCTGTCGTATGCTTATGAATTTCTCCTGAAGTACTGAAGAGGAGATTCTTTTTGCCATTCTGAATTCAGATAGAGAGATTGTTTCATGCAACATGCTTTCTAATTTATGGCTGTTGCTCATGGAGAGCCTGGGAAAGAAAATTTGTTTGATTGGTCAAAGCACAGAAAGTAACTATTTCCACGAAAACAACAACTTGGAGGTATATCTGCAGAAATATGTTGGTTGAATGATCACATTTATATTCTGACATCATTCAATATAATCTCGACTAGGGATTACTATTCAATTGTCAAGGAGCAGGTTTATTCTTGTTCTTTATTTACCTCAACAATTAATCAGTTCATTGAAAGGGGACTTTTTGACACAAGTAAAAATCTTTAGACCTTGGCACAAACGATTGTAATAGCTGAAGCTGAAAGTGTTAAAATTTTAATCATCCATACCATACCCCAGGTAGATTAAACCTTACGATATATAACTTCTCATTATTGAAGTAAGGACACATAATTTGTCTTTCTTGATGATCATCCTGAATTATGTGCAGGCAAATACAGAAGAGCAGCACACGGATTCACGGAACTTCTTGTTGGGAACTGTCGCATGACATGAACCATCTGGATGGATGCAGCAAAATCAGTTCTAGTTAAGCCATGAACATCTCCCGATTAATATGATGTCTACTTCCTTGCAACAAAATTCATTTGAAATCGACTTGCAGATGGAGATATTAGCACTTTACATCTTTCATTTTCTCTTTCAAATTAATTTTTTTTTTTTTTTTTTAAACGATGAAATATAAGAAACTAATGAGAAAACAAAATGTATTCGATTCACGTTGCCTGGTGTGGTGTATATTGTTAACAGCTGATTGATTTCTAGTGTTTTCCAGTAGGGTTATTACCAGACCAGGATAATGTCAATCCACTTCCCAAACAAAGCCTTGCAACTACACAGCCATTCCACCAAAATTAAAAATTACCGCTCCGCTTTGTTAGCTTTTTAAAATAGCATTTTACTAATAGCATTTTTAGAAAAATATGATAGGGTTCTGGTATATTTTTTAAAATATTTAGATTGGTTAATTTAATTAAACACCCTCACAATAAAAGTTCATAAATTGACAAAAATACTTTCACCTATCCACTCACTTACATATTGTTGACAGTTGGCTATCATTGTCAAAAGGTGGTCGGTATCTATCAAAATAATGCACGAACCGTTGGATCTGGACATTCATGTGCTGATCTAGCCTTTTTCGGCTAGATCCCTTGTGGATTTGATCAGAAACGGCCAGATCTACAACCACAGATCTAGTGGATAAACGATTGCCAAGATATTTGATTGTCTAGAATTATATATTAATAACCAGATCTTTAGCCATAGATCTGGCCAAATCTATAGTGAATCTAGTCAAAAATGGATAGATCGACACACGATCGGTCAAATTTAGCCAATCATATATCTTTATGACATCATCGATGGTCAATAGTGGTTGCTAGCAAGTGATAGTAAATTGGGTGGATGAGTGGAGTGTTTTTGTTTATTTTAAAATTTTACTGAAAAAAATAATTATTAATATATTGGGTTGAATAGAATAGAATTAAATTAAGTTTTTTTAGCACAGAGGAGTAGAACGTGATAGTGGGAAAAGAGTGTGCACAGTCATCCCACAAAAATTAAAAATTACAACTCCTCTACAAATATCCAGTTTGTCGAGTGATTAGACGGCCACGCCTGCGGCCCACAATTCTTCTTCAATCTCGGCGCCCGGCTGGCGAGTCCAGCACCGTTGGAGAGGTAAATGAAGTCTCACATACATCTATTCTCCACAACTCCCCACAATTTTCTCCAATAATCATGGCTATATGCCTTTCATACTGTCCTGACCCTGTTCCCCATAAAACCTCAATAAGCTTTAGCTCTAGATTGAGGTTCAATTCTCAGGAAGCTCTGTTTTTACTTCGAAAATGCACAACTTTTAATCAATTGAAGCTAATTCATGCCAGAATTATCCGCCACGGCCTCACTGATGACCAGTTACTTGTTCGAAAATTACTTGATATTTGCTATTCTTATGGTAAAATGGATTATGCCCTTTTGGTTTTTCATCAAATTCAGCGCCCTCATGCCTTTACTTGGAATCTTATGATTAGGGCACTTACTAACAGTGGCAGGTCCCGGAAAGCTATGGATTTGTTTAACCTTATGATGTGCAAAGGTTGTGCACCTGACAAGTTCACCTTCCCGTTTGTTATTAAAGCTTGCTTGGCCGCTTTTGATGTTGAGAAGGGTAAAGAGGTCCATGGTTTGGCTGTTAAAACAGGATTTTTCCGAGATATGTTTGTGCAGAATACTTTGATGGATCTTTATTTCAAGTGTGAGGATGTAGATAGTGGAAGTAAGGTGTTTGAGAAAATGCGTGTTCGTAGTGTTGTTTCGTGGACAACTATGATTACTGGCCTTGCTGCTTGTGGGGATTTGGATTCTGCCCGAGCTGTTTTTGAGCAAATGGAATCAAGAAATGTTGTTTCGTGGACGGCTATGATTAATGCGTATGTTAGGAATCAACAACCTCAAGAGGCTTTTGAATTGTTCTGGAGAATGCAGCTTGATAATGTCAGGCCAAATGAGTTTACACTTGTTAGCTTGTTACAAGCATGTACGGACCTGGGAAGTCTAAAATTGGGTAGTTGGATTCATGACTTTGCTTTAAAGAATGGGTTCGAACTTGGAGTTTTCCTTGGGACTGCTCTTATTGACATGTATAGCAAATGTGGTAGTTTGGAGGATGCTAGGAAAGTGTTTGACAAGATGCAAATTAAGAACTTAGCCACTTGGAATTCTATGATTACTAGCTTGGGTGTGCATGGGCATGGCGAGGAAGCCCTTGCTCTTTTTGCGCAGATGGAGAACACAAATGTTCAACCGGATGCAATCACTTTTGTAGGTGTTTTATGTGCTTGTGTACATACAAATAATGTAGATGAGGGTTGTCATTACTTCTGGTATATGATAGAAAATTATGGTATCATGCCTATTTTAGAACATTATACTTGCATGATTGAACTATATAATCATGCAAAAATGAAGGATGAGATCTACGCACTTCTGAATTGTATGCCCGATAAACTGGATGAGAATACAGTGGCAGCCTTGCTGAGACCGAACACTATGCGAGAGAATCTGAATGAGAATACAGAGGCAGCGTTGCAAAGGCTGAATGCCCTTCCAGAGAAGCTGAATGAGAATACCGAGGCAGTATTGCAAAGGCTGAATGCCATGCTCAAGCTAAATGAGAGTACAGCAGCAGCATGGGTTACGCCAAGTGTTGACAAGAGAGTGACTGATATGGAGAAAAATTCTCTCCTGTTTACAAATGAATCCAACTGCTTGGGAGTGTTTATATGCTATGTCCCGCAATATCAGCTCCATTGCTTCAAGGGGGATGTGGGTTAACTTTACTGGATGATTTTCTTACTGTTTAATTACGTTTCAAATTGTACACATTGTAATCACTGAGAGAGGAGCCTTGTATCAAAGTAGAACCTCCAATCATACAAAATCCTGTTCTTATAAGCTTTTCTCCAATAAAATAAGTCAAAGAAGATTTGTAGATTGGAATGATTCCCTTATTTTTAATCCTTCGTTATTATGTTGGAGGGAAAGGAGTTGGTTGTACAGTTAAAAGTCTCAATCCTTTTGTGGTCTCTGGTAATATTATTTTTGTTTATCTCGATTCTTATTACCAATTCTCTACACTTATGGAATGACAGAAACCAGAGCAAATGCTCTGGCCTTATTTGTTGTATAGTTACTTTCATATTCTTTTGACTTGTAATCCCAATGATCCTTCAACGTTACACAGTAATTAAAATTCACTGAAAACTTGAGAAATTTATATACTATACTGATGAATCTATGATTTCAGAGCTTCAAAAGTGATGCCTCAGTTGTCAGTTTCTCTAAAATGGACTAGTAATTTTGCTTTTATTTTCTCATTTTATGCAATTGGTATGTCTACGCTTTATAAGATAATCAAAATGAGTCTCATTTGGTTTGCGTTATATTTTCATATTCTCTAGTATTTTTTTAATTTCTTAAATTCTATTGCATGTGTCCACCCATTGCCGAACATCCTTCAGCTGTAAGGTTGAGGTTGAAAAACGAGATTTTATAAGGCATGAGATTAGAAAAACTCACATGCCAATTCTTGGTATAAAATAATGCAGTTGAAGTAGTCAATGTGAGCATCCTTTTTTGTATGGATATTATAGGTGGAAATGCCAATGAAAGGATGTCATTGCAATTATCGAAGCTGTGCTTCTGTCTTCAGGCGCATACTGTCAATTGCCCTGGTGATGAGTCACTATGGTGCTTGATTGGCTAATAGTGTTGTCATCTTTATCCTTCTTTAAGAAGGCTGTTTATATTCTATTACAAAATCAAGGAGTAGTTTTGTATTGCCAGAAACCATGGAAAGATGGTCTAAACCCAACTGGGTTGGCACCAGAAATTATAGTGAGAATCTTCTGTGCCATTACTTGTTCAGTGATGGCTCCGCTCAATATGTTTTCCTGGATTTGGTTGATGAAGGGTCTGCCGTTGTGAACCGATCCCTGAGTTTTTGTACTACAAGAAATCTACACGTTTGTGCTTCTGCCAATGGTTTGCTTCTGCTGTCAAGTGTTCAGGATAACCAGGTGAGCTATAATCTATTCAATCTATTTTCTAAGAGAAGGGAGGTTCTTCCACGACCCCAGATAACTAGACGTAGTATTAGAACAGGTTTGGCTTTTGATGGATTTCGCTATCAAGTTGTACGAGTATTCAGCGTTGACGTTGAAGAAGAATGTGCCCCAGAGTCGTCGTCAGCCGCAGTTCCTCCAACTGGAAGTGATGGTTTTCTAGAAATGGAGATCTTCTCATCTGAAACTAACATATGGAGACGATACAGGCCTTTAATTCGTCTGCCACCTGATCTTCCCAAGCTCGACATGTCCCCTCTCTTTGCAAACGGAGCTATTTATTGGGAACTGGGTGGATACTTACTGGTTTATCATGTCAATCATGGGCTCTGTAGGGTGATTGAGCTGCCAAACTATCCCCAAAGATGGTCTTGGAATTCTCTGACTTTTGGGCAATGTTTGTTTGAGTCTGAAGGACGTCTGCACTACTGCTACTCTGATTCTGAAGGAATCCACATTTGGGTTCTCATCAAGGAACAAGATCATGACTTCTATTCTAACTATGTGTGGAATTTAGTTCATACTGCTAGACACCAGAACTTGATTTCACAAAATTCTGATGTCTTGCTTCGTATTAGACAGAGAAACAATCTTTTTTCACACTGGGAGCCCTACTTCATATCTCCATTCGCTTACATTGGAAACTCTCAAACAATGTACCTGCGTCTCCCTGGTAGTATTGTCACTTACGATTTGAGGACCCAATCTTTGAGGGAAATCTGCACTTATGAATTTCCAAACATGAACTTCTATTGCTGCTTGCTCGTCCCTGTTGTTTACGGTTTGCAGGGTGATTCTCGAGACAGACAACCACAAGAGGGAATCAGAGAGGTGATTTCATTGCCGATGCAGATGAACTAGAAAAGCAAACATCCAAATGATCTGTTGTCATGTATTTGTTTTCGAATCCCGACCTACTCCAATATTATTTGAAACCAATACATTGCATTTTAATTTTTATTGGACTATGATTTCTTATTTATCTTTTAGTTAGCTTGTCAAGAGTGTAGATATCATATATGTCATATGATGTATTATTTTGAGGATTCTCCAAACAGCCATCACAAGTGTCCATAACCTATTTATAACTATAATGTCTGATTTGATGTTTATTAAAAACTGTTGCAAGTCCCGAAATCCGGCTAGCTCGTAGCAGAAATATTTTCTGCTAATGTTCACCATCATTCGTTTTGAAGCCTCTTTTGTGTATGTCCTCTTTAAATCCAGAAGAATAAATGAAAAGCTACCATAGAGAATTCGTAACAAATGGAAGCTATGTTATCAAATAACACTGAATCACTGAATTCTATTTAAATTTCCTACATAAATAAAAATATATAAATATTGTTCATGCTTGATTTTGACACCAACGATCTCGCACATGTAAAATGCTAAGCGGGTCTTAGAAATTACACGTGATTAATTTGAGAGTTATATAAGGTTACAACAGCATGCAAAGACTTAATAATAAATGACACAGTGAGAATTTTATAGTGGTTTGGATGTTTAAAGCGATTCCTAAATCTACTGTTTTCTTTTATATAAGTGTTCTTGGTTATTAGATAAGTTACAAGAGGTCGCGAATAGCGAACAGAATGACAAGTGCTTGGTATTTAGAGAGAATATTAAGCCAGTCTCTTTCCCGTGGGTTGTCTTTGCTATTTGTTTTTATGAAAATCAAAGATCTCGGTTTTGTGAGGGGGAGTCCTCTATTTATAACTGTTGAGTTCAAAGTAATGATTACAAGTTTGCAAATGGGTAGGTGTCGTGCAAGTCCTTCCTTGCGTCTCATTGGCTGATAACTTAGAAAATATCCTTAAATTATATGGGGCTTGGATAGGTGTGCGGACCTCATTCATTCACAGACCAAACTTGAGCTTACTAAGTTAGTGACAGCCATATTCTTTCTGTCTTGGGGCGACGTGGCAGATCCTGGATGGTGCAAAGCCTTCCTGAACTCTTATTGGTGCTCGCTGATGTAAGCTTATGCCAGCCCTGATTTTTTAGGCATAACAAAAGCTCCCCAGTTCTTGAGATCCAAGGAATTGGATTTTGAGAACTTCATGATTATGTTGCGACCTAACTTGTCTTCAAAAATGCTTGCTCGAGCTGAGTATAATCATATTATTGTAGAAGATCTAAAGTTGTTTGTTTGGTCCGACTTCTGAAGTATTGTCTTGATTTGACTTGCGAACTGAGTGTAGGTCATGAGCTATCTTAAGAGTAACACAAGCGACCCGACGTGATCGTTTACTGAGATCTACCGACCTGAGTTTGATCTTGTTTTGAGTCATCGGGATGTGTTTTGAACTCTAACTGTCATTCACGACCTGAAAAACACTTAGAATATTTCGTTGTTGAAAATTATGAATCATCTTGTTTGGTGTTCGAGTTCGACATGTTGAATAAACGTCTTTTTTGAACGACCTCTTCAGATGTTATTTATTGCACTTGACAGCTGGCTCAGTTAATAAAGTAAACTTTATCTGACAGACATGTCTCTGCACACAATAAGTGTCAGCCATGAGCATTAAATACAAGTCATGCTGAAACAACATTCCCTTTTGGTACATTAAATGCAGATGAAGGCACATTTAATGTCAAGGAGATAATTACGCAGGCGATTGGCATTTTCAACAAAAAGAAGCGCCAGATGATTTTTACGAAGTGTGGGGGTTACTCTTCGTGTAGATTGATGACATGTGATCTCAATCTACGATTGAGAGCATGTTCCAACCCAAACGTCGCTTATACAGGAAGCTGTAGCGTCATCTTCCACCCTATAAAACCCTAACTTTGCCCTAAGTTTGCAGAAAACTCCAATTCTTCATAGAGAAAACATCGTTTTCCAACTCCAAAAAATTTGTTATTCTTCCACCAGTTCATGCGAACCAATGCTACAATAGAGCGCCCATTCCAAGCAACCAGGAGGTAAAAAAATTTCTTCCTTATTCTCTTTTTTTCATTCCTGCAAAAAAAACTTTTTTTTTTTTACAGTCATGGTGGTCATGAGTGTCTGGTAGACTTAAATAAGGAGCATTTCTGGATAGTGTTCGAAAAAGACACTTGAAAGCTCAAAACCTAGGGTAAATAGTCCTAGAGGATCGTTTTAAGAGATTTTAGGGTTGTCCAAAGCTTGATGGTTATGGCAGAAAAACCAGGGTTTTTTTACTCATCTGAGTCATCGTATGAGGTAAATTTTTTAGGGTTTGAGTCTCCCCTAAACATCATACCTTTACAGACTCTAAGAGCAACGGAGATCCCTGAGATGAGAACAGCTGGCGAGGGGAGTTTGCGTCCACCGGGCGCCTCGACAAGTCTCGAGAAGGTGATACGATCCACTATCACAATGAACGAAATCAAAGATGCACTGAATTAGTATGTGATCGACGTGGACGTGTACCAAAAGAGGTTGTACACTGCCCAGGAGCCTCCCGAGGGAATGGATGCGATCTCAAAAGCCATCTTCAAATGCAGAGTGAGAATACCCCTCCACCCCTACATCAGGTGGATACTTGACCACTTCCAGGTCGCACTATTCCAGCTGACGCCAAACGCATATATGATAGTTGTTGCTATGTATATATCGTTCGACGAGCACGAATTCGGGGAGCCAATGGCACTAGAGCTCGCTTGCGCCTATATCTTGAAGAAGAATAAAGATAAGGACTCGTACTACCTCTCCAAACGATCAATGATCGAGGGAGGAATATTTGGTTACCCTAGCAACGTAGGGGCTTACGAGACCAAATATTTTTTCTTTAAGTACGACAGTGTCTATAAATTTCAGGAACCAAGTAGGTTTTTTCCTTCAATTTTCAGGTCGTTCGTCCTTTGAGCTTAATTCTTTATTAGATAATAAGCTAACAAACTCTTTTC